AAAAACAAAATAGAAATAAATTAAATTATAAAAATAAACAGAATTAAAAAAAATAAAATTAGATAAAAAAAGTGAAAACATAATTTTATCAGGGATGAGCGGAGATAAGCAGAGAAGCATAACGAAACAGTGTAACCGGAACAGCAACCAATGACGGGCATATCAGAAGAACAAGAACCTCACAAATCAGTCGAAGAAATTATAATTTTTTAAATGATTTATTGTTATGAATTTAGTAAATGATTTTTAATTTGTTTTTTATAATCTGTAAAGGATTGAAAATTATAGTTATTAGAAATATTATTCCACAAATGTGGCGCTATGAAACTGAAAGATTTTTGTAAGTTAGCTGTTCGGTGTTGAGGAATTTTAAAATAATGCACTTGCCTAGTCGAATGATCATGGTCAACGTAGTGAAACAATGAGAACAAATAGGGAGTCTGCTCTGTAGTTAAAATTCGATAAATGAATGTCATTAAATGAAATTATTACAAATCAAAACAAAATTATTTGATATTATAATACAGTCATCAGAAAAGTCTATCAATAATTTTAGAAAATCATAAATAAAATAAAATGGCGATTGTTTAGTAAACGGTTCTTCCCTTAGTCTTAAAAAATATTTAGTTGTTTTTCTCTGGTTTGCAAAGGAAAATTCATATTGTTTATAAATAATAAAAAGTGCATGTGCAAAGAATTTCAATACAATAAAATGTAAAAATACAACAAAATGTAGTAGTCATAAAATTCATGTAATAAGTACATTAATTATATGTATGTCAAAAGATGCCCATTTACATTATAGCAACCAAAATTTAAAACAAAAGCAGTATTAAATTGTAACGGCAACAAAAAAGTAAGGCCGCAAAATTCCATTTTTGGTACAACCCAATAAAATTTTCACAAAAGGTAGGTAATGATTTGTCAAACCCAAGTGGGTACCTAGATTATACTTATTCAATACCCTTTCTTAAAAGGGAAACAGAAATTGTTATTAAGTTATTAGTAATTAGTACGTACCACATGTACCTTTGTTCTACAAATAATTTAATTAATAAATATATAATTTAAAATACATAATAAATTAATAAATATACAATTTAAAAAATAAATCTAAAAATAAATATAATTTAGAAATCTGCTATTTTTTATGTCTAGGTCCGCCTCTGATCTACAGAGAAGAGGATATAATAATATACCTAACCCTGCTTATTTTTATTTACCGGTGAAAAGTTAAATTTGGATTTAAATGATACACTCTCTTGTACACAATACATAAATGCACCATATTTTCAAATTAATGTCCACAGAAGTCCACAAAATAACGCAAAACTACTATAATACTGCAAATAAAGAATACGGAGCTTGATCGGCAGCATAGCAACATCGCAACAGGAGAATCTAGGAATTTTCATTCATCCTCGAAATCCGTTGTACTACGCCGGCATATTTCTAAAACTGACGTTGCCAAACTGCTTTTTATTATTAAAAGAAACACGATCATGATATTTTTATTCCATTATAAAATTTAAAATAGTTAAGCATTAAATGAAAAAATTGACGTTAGCAAATTAATGTACTTGATATATTATAGAAATGTAACGAAATTATTTATTACTTAATAATTGGTTGTGGTATTTAATCGAATACTAATACCAATATACAGGTAAATCTGGCAAATGTTTTCGGTGTAAGAGAGATGCGAAAATAAGGGTAGAATAATGGCCGATGAAGGAAAAAGGTAAACAATTGTATCATTTGAGTTTAAATATCTTTGATAACACCACATATAAAACATAATAATTAACGTTATGATTTTTCATACAGATACCTTGAAATTAAGTAAATATATTATATCTTTTAATCCTTAAATATACCGGGTGTTGCATCGTCGGACGCGACATAGGAAATCCCATGTAAATTTTAATGGGGTCAATTATTGGCTACCCTAATTATTTTAGAGAATAATTCTATTTAGGTTTATTGAAGAGCACTAAAACCCACATTCAAAAGAATAACTTTAGATATTTTTGATTAGCTTGTTTACGAGTTATCGCAGATTTCTTTTTAAATATTTCTCCTTTCTTATGGCCCTGTATTTACTTATGAGCACCAGTCTATGTAAAAGATAACTGTCAAATGAAGTTGTCATTTTAGAAATTTACCTATTTAGTGCTTTGTTATTATTGAAAACTCATTCCTACATCGGAAATCTTAAAGATGTATTTATAAATACAAATTAATATGAATTAAAGTAAAATAAAGTAATCAATTAAAAGGAGTATTACAATATTCAATAACTTATTAATTTAGGTACTATTAAATTGTTAGAACTTTAGGATTTAAGAAGATGTTCAAATATTCCTCCATCGATTGCTAGACAATAATCCAGACGATCATAAAATTCTCTTCTTACATTCGCTAGTTGGTAAACTGAAATTTTATTGCATTCGGCAGAAATAGCATTTTTTAACTCGTCTAGATTTGGGTATTTTTTGTCATTGTATATCCTGTTTTTTAAATGGCCCCAGAGAAAGAAATAATTTGGCGAAATATCAGTAGACCTTGCTAGCCAATTTACTATATGATTTAGGCCAATAACGTTTCCGTTAAAACGATTGTCTAAATATTCCCGAACAACCAGGGTACTATGTGCCGGACAGCCACCCATTTGGTACCACACTTCCTGATTTTCTCTAGCGGCATCATGTAAAGCAGGTAAAATATGATTTTCGAGTAGTTCCAAATAATATTCAACATTTAATTTCGCGTAAGAAATAATGGCCCGATAATATTTTGTCCGAATATCCCTGCCCAAACATTTACTTTCTGTAGATATTGCGTCCTTGTTTCGACAAACCTGTGTTGGTTTTCTTTGTACCAATATCGCTAATTTTGAACATTGGGTTCATTATTTAAGGTAAACGTGCATTCAGTGAAACATATGTTTTTTAAAAATTCTCTATCCGTGTTTGCTCTTTCCATAATATCAAAACAAAACGGCTGCCGCCGTATTTCGTCCCCATCTCGTGCCTTTTGGTGCTTTTCATATTTGAAGGAATAGTATTTATGTCGTTTCAAAATTCGAAACGCTGTAGTGTGATCTATTCCTATTTCATCCTCAAGTTTCCTTGTGCTGATCTTACCATCGTTCTCTTCCACGCACAATAAAACTTCCAAGTCGGTATCATTTCTTGCATCTTCTCTTTGTTCCTGCCTTGCTTCACATCTGCAGTTATTTATTAGGGTACCTTTGGTCTCAAATCTCTGGATATTCTTTGCGATTGTAGATTTTCTAGGTATCGGTCTATTCGGATACAGAGCAGCAAACATGTCCGACAACTTTTGATAACTATTTCCTTGATAATACCATTTAATCATCAATACTTTTTCTTCGGTAGTGTAATGCGTGGCTAATATTTTCGATGTAGGTATGAGTTTTTAATAATAATAATAATAAAGCACTAAATAGAAAAATTTCTGAAATGACAACTTCATTTGACAGTTATCTTTTACCTTGACTGGTGCTTATAAGTAAATACAGGGCCATGAGATAGGAGAAATATTTAAAAAGAAAACGGCGATAACTCGTAAACGGGCTAATCAAAAATATCTAAAGTTATTCTTTTGATTGTGGGTTTTAGTGCTCTTCAATAAACCTAAATAGAATTATTCTCTAAAATAATTAGGGAAGCCAATAATTGACCCCATTAAAATTTACATGGGATTTCCTATGTCCCGCTCGACGATGCAACACCCGGTTTATAAACGGGATTTGGTTTAAGTATTTAAAACTCATTTCCAACTACAGCTTATTGCTGCCTTCCCGTTACCCTACGCCACACATTTACACTACGCCACACTACGCTCGATTTAGAGCGTCATCAGCTTCTAGGTTACGAGCTTCCATTGCTTCCGTAGCCGTTCCGTTCCAGGATTTTCTAGGTCTACCTCTCTTCTGCCCTGGGGAGCCCATTGAAAAACTTTTTTTGGTCACCTGTTCTCCGGCATACGCAGAACATGTCCAAACCATTTTAAGCTGGATTTTTCGATTCGATGTAGTACTGTTTCCTCCGATGCATTCATGATACGCCTGACCTCGATGTTTTTCTTTTTTTCCATCCTAGATATGCCTGCACTTCTTCTAAGGTAGTCCATTTCAACAATTTGGATTTTGCGCTTCGCGTCTGCACTCAGAGTCCATAGCTCTGAACCATACCAAAGACTGACTCCACCAATGTTCTTCCAAGTCTCTTTTTAGTTGTTGCAGACAAGTTTCGGTCCCACCAGAGGCTATTAAGACATCCAACAACTTGTTTGCTCTTCTGAATTCGGGTTTGTATTTCTTCTTTGCCCAAACCCTCGTTGTTGATAGTAGCACCCAGGTATTTAAATTTGTCTACTTGTTGAATCTGGACGTTATCATTAATGAAGACTTCAAAACAAGCGTTGGAATTGACAGCTAAGTATTCCCTCTTCTTTAGACTAACCTGAAATCCCTATTTGTTGTATTCTTGATAAAGCCTCTTAGTCATGAATTCTAGATCGTGTGAGTCCTGCGCAATCACGACCTGATCGTCTGCAAAGCTCAGGGTAAATAGTGTGTTGTCCTCAACGGGTATTCCCATATCTTGACATTTCGTCTTCCATTCCCTAAGGGCTACTTCGACGTAAGCGTTGAAGATCAGAGGAGATAAGCTGCATCCTTGTCGCAACCCTTTTGTGGTGTTTATTGGATTAGATAGCCTGTGTCCTATCTTAACGTACGATTAATCGTAATCCTTAAATCCTTTCTGAAATATTCTGTAATCGTAATCCTTAAATCCTTTCTGGAATATATCAATACCTAAATAAAAATATCGTTTCATTACAAACAACAAAAATAATTGTCAAAACACAAATCAAAAATTACGAAAAGAGTACTGTTTTGTAACCTTTGTAAATATCAATCTATTCAGTTTTATAATCGCCCCCCGTAGCATAGTCGTCAAGTAATATCGTCGGGACTAACAAAATTAAACCTCGTATATCGCCGAGAGTTTCGTGCTGTGTCAGGCCAGTTCACCTAAATTAGGCATCACGCGACAAAGTTTTGATGCTTTAATTTGGTCAACTGTGCGGCTAGTGCGACACCGGTGCTGAAATGCTTGAAAGAAAACTCGAAATTTGGCCCCCATATACGAACATAAACATTTCCAATGTTAAAATTAATATTTCAGTTCTAAGTAGACACCTAGAAAGTAAGAGATACTGAAACAAAACTTGATGTTTTATTGTGTTCAGCGGCCCACAAACACAATATGAAATATTGCGCAATAATATTGACCGTTTAGGGTTTACATTGAAAGGTTGCACAATATATTGTGTCAATCAAAAACAGTTTGGTTTTTATTGTGCAATAGTGATTAGTTTGTATCGCGTGTGGATAATATTGCACAATAGTTCAGTATATTTTTGTTTTCTCTGCGTGTTTGTCTCGCTGCTCGGCTCTGTTTTGAATATTTTAGATCAGTGGTTTGTCAGCAAATATGGGATCAAAAGCAAAAGAGGAAGAAAGACGATTTATTTTAGAAGTCATCGAAATGTACCATTCTTTGCCAGCTTTATGGAATACAAAAAGCAAAGAATATAGCAACAGAAATAAAAAAAATGAACAATATGATGAATTACTAGGGAAATATAAGGAAAAATACCCGAACGCTGATAGAAAACAATTGATAAGCAGGCTGAATTCGCTGCGAACTAACTTCAGGAAGGAACTTAAAAAAATTAATGATTCTAAACGTAGTGGAGCAGGTACCAGTGACGTTGTAGAGCCAACATTATGGTATTTCAATGAAATTAAGTTTCTGATAGGCATTGAAAAACCATGTGAGTCTCAAAATATTAGGGAAATTGAGAACGATAGCCAGGGCCAGGATATAGCTGATAATAATTACAGTGATGTACCAACTACTGAAGGAAAAAAGGTAAATAACAAAATTGATACAATTGATTAAATACTATATATTAATTATTATTATCCATACATATATAAAAGCTCAAAGGGTTTTTTTGTTACATCCATCCCGCCGAAACCGCTTCACCAATCTTGATGATTTTTTTTTAAATGAAAGGTATATATGTGTAGATTTGTTATGAAGTATTTTTATATTGTTTAATGGCTATTTCTTTGTGTAAAACGATTAAATACTAAAACATACCTGAAAAACACCTATACAAAATACCTCCAGAAATAAATTATTTATTTGTCATTTTCAGTGGTGTGTCAGTTATAGATTATATATCAAGTTTTTAGATATTTTAGGGGTCAGTTAATACCGCCAGCTTTAGATACATAAATATTAGCACAAAGGTTCGTTTAAATGATATTAGTGATTAGTGAATTAGCTACGCAAAGCGATTTTAGGAAATTCATCCTCTTAGAGTGTAAAATTATGTCGAAAGTTAGTAAAAATTTATATAAACCTTCGTGACCTCTGGATTATACACATAAAAATATGAACAAAGGATCACTTAAAAGACATGAATTAATTATTTGGACATAGCGAATTTATGAAATTCATACCCATAGGGAGTAGAATAGGGAATGAAAGTTTGTTGTACGAAAATGCATTATTATTACTATCCTCCATTCATGCAGTTGTGCAGCTCTGAACTGTTCAAGAACGCGATACTCTCACTCCATTCAATTGAGTCATAAAGTTCAGAACTGTTCCGCGCCATATGGACACCCATATCCTAGGCTATCGCGCACAGCTCCTTTCAGAACCGTTCTGAGTAGCTCAGGGCGTAAAGCTCTGGAACTTGAAATTCGCGAATGGAGGACAGCATATAACATCTAGAAGTATAAAATTTTATACAAGGGTTTATTTAGTGACATCAATAATATGAACGAAATATTTCTTCTTCAAACCATCCTTCTAGGAATAAAAATAACGTATAAAGAGGGTATTAGTGCTCTTGAAAAATCAGTGGAGTATTCAAGAACAGCGACAATTGGAAACTTCAAATATTCAAATGAAAACTTTATACATATGTCAAAGCTATTTATTTTAGTAACACAGTTTATATGGAACCATAGGTAGGATTCTATCTATAGAGGGTAAATAATAATTTCAGTATTTATTATTTTCGAGAGATTTTCTTTTTTCAGATTTTGCAAAATTTCGACTTTGGTTCGATTTCTAAAACACCCTATACCCATAATTAAGAAATAAAAAAAACACACCAACCCTCTGTCCGACCATACATAATTAATTTCAGTCACAAATCATTTTGGGGCCAAAATTGAACTTCTTTGAAATACTTTGATTTCGATAACAACTTCTAGAATTATTAAGATTATTTAACTTTTTAGATTTCTTTTTAGTTTTTAGTTAAAAACCATAATTTATTGATAACATGGCAACATAGGTAGTAGGTAGATTAAATTTACCAGACAGAAACACCCGAAAAGCTCCAGTGGTTTGAAATCTCAAAATTTAAGCAAAAAATATTTCTTTTTTTGGAATTTTTTAAAGTAAAATAACTCGGCTATTTTGGAGTTATTTGAAAAACTGTAAAAAGAAAATGTTTCTTTTATCGAGATCTACCAGCCCTGAAAATATTTGCTCTTATTCAAGACTCGCCCTGTATAATACCCAGAAAATCGACAATTGCTAACTTTCTTATGAAATACGAGTAGCTCTAAAACTCTTAAAAACATAGTTTAAATATTGCATTTGTAAGGCTCACACTAGCTCTATCTATAAAGAAGTAAACAATCATTGAAATCAATGCATGAACGATTCGAGGTGTAACGCGAACGTAGTCGCGGGAAAAAGCTAGTTTAATATTATTATGCAATTTTATCTTGCCATGAAACTAATTCATTATTAAAATAATGGCAATAACTGTCCCTGACACTTTTTGCGTTTGTTGTTGAATTTCGAGTATGAGATGTCTGCAGTAATGTTGTGGGTGCACAATATCCATGAATGATATTGTCCGATATATATATATATATATATATATATATATATATATATATATATATATATATATATATATATATATATATATATATATATATATATATATATATATATATATATATATATATTAATAAATAATATTTTCTTGCCTTTAGCTGTGTATTTTTTCTAATTTCGAAAAATCGAAAGTAGAGAAAAATTAAAAAAAAATAAAAAGTAAAAAGAAAATTGTTTTGCTTGTCGTAAAGGGGGGAACCAAGCTCCACTCCCACAACCGGTTTCTGGGCCTACCCTTCATCAGGTGGGCTGTCCAGGGGCTGGTTCTCACCGATACGGTAAGCAAAACTTCTTCTATATCTACAGACGATGTCGTAAAGTGTCGGTGAGATATTAGTGCATCTCCCGTCAAAAGATGGTAAAGAGCGTTTTTCGGCCCGCTCAAATATATGAAATGAACAAAATTCTTACAGCTTTAGTGTATATTAATAAATAATATTTTCTTGCCTTTAGCTGTGTATTTTTTCTAATTTCGAAAAATCGAAAGTAGAGAAAAAATTTAAAAAATAAAATAAAAAGTAAAGTCTTTTTACTTTTTATTTTATTTTTTAAATTTTCTCTACTACTCGATTTTCGAGAAAAATACACATACAAAAGGCAAGAAAAATATTATTTATTAATATACACTAAAGCTGTAAGAATTTTGTTCATTTCATATATTTGAGCGGGCCGAAAAACGCTCTTTACCATCTTTTGACGGGAGATGCACTAATATCTCACCGACACTTTACGACATCGTCTGTAGATATAGAAGAAGTTTTGCTTGCCGTATCGGTGAGAACCAGCCCCTGGACAGCCCACCTGATGAAGGGTAGGCCCAGAAACCGGTTGTGGGAGTAGAGCTTGGTTCCCCCCTTTACGACAAGCAAAACAATTTTCTTTTTTTACTTTTTATTTTATTTTTTAAATTTTTTCTCTACTTTCGATTTTTCGAAATTAGAAAAAATACACAGCTAAAGGCAAGAAAATATTATTTATTATATATATATATATCTATATATATATATATATATATATATAATATATGCCCTGAATAATATTGCCCGATACGTGACCTTCAACATCAATGGTGGCTCTATCAATATATGTGTTTGATTCCTTTTTCTTAAATAACTATGTAAATAGCAACAAGCTAAAGTAATTATGCGAGCTTTTTCAGGACCTAGTACAATAGGTCGCTGAAATATGTCAAATACGGCAACTAAAATGGTAAAAGCATTCTCGACAATGCGACGAGCTCGACTAAGACGGTAATTAAATATATGTTGTTGAGCAGTTAATCCAGTTTGGGCATAAGGTTTCATAAAATTTTCTGTTAGTGCGAAAGCGTCATCGTCAATAAAAACAAAAGGTAGTGTTTTATCACTATTGGGTAATACGGTAGGTTCTGGTATTTGAAGTTTTTTATCCGATAACGCTCTGTCAAATGCAGTGGCACCCAACACACCTCCATCAGATATTCGCCCATTAATTCCGGCATCAACCATTATGAATTCGTAGTTTGAATTAACAACGGCTAACAATACAATACTAAAAAAAAATTGTAATTATAATAATATGAGCCACTGTGAGGTGGTTGATGGCCACGTGCTTCCCATCTACTGCTCCCAAACAGTTAGGAAAATTCCATTGATTTGAAATCCTTTTGCAATATTCTTTCATTCCCCTTCTGTTTTTGGAATCTGAAATAAAAAAATTAAAAATCTAGCAAAACTAAATACCACTTAGTTCTTTTATATTGTTTTATATTTTATGAATATTTTTTTAAGTATTATACTAAGGTCATTATATTGTTTGCAGAAAGAAGATAATCATCCAAAGAAAAAGCAAAAACTAGAGGATATTAGGAAAGAGGTACTCCTTCTTGCTCGCGAACAATTGCAAAAGCCAGATAGTGAATATGACAAAATTGCTGCTGCTTGGGCCGTAGAACTAGCAAAAATGGAACCAGGACAACAGTTATTTGCGAAAAAAGGTGTTAATGACATTTTATTTGAAGGCCAGTTAGGTACTCTTCACAAAAATTCTATAAAAATTAACGAAATTTGTCCAGGTAACAGTCAAACTACACCTAATCTTTCCGTAACCTTTTTTCCGCAAAGCCACACAAGTAACTCTTCATGATCATACGACACAAATCATTACTCATCCCCACCACCTGGATACAAATCCAAACGTTAACTGGATATAACTGTACATCCGGAAACCAGCCCGGTGGTCCTGCTGGTGATTTTTTTTTCAAACTTTTAAGAATCAACAATAAATAATAAAATGTGTAAATAATGAAGTGAATAAAAGTGTAATAATTAAATAATAAATAAGTAAAACTTTGTCTTTTTCAAATATTTGAAGAGCACACGGGAAAAACGATGAAGGTCCAAAAACAGTAAATTAATAAATTTGGCTCAAAAATGGACTTTCATCGTTTTTCCCGTGTGCTCTTCATTTGTTTTATTGCCTTTACTCTTTACTTACCTTTATATAATCGTTTAGCTTGTGAATTATAGTTGCACAAGTTTCCATGACAATAATTGCACCTATGGATTGTGGAGATATAGCATTGGTGAATTTCAAATCCTCAAAACTGTTGCCTGTAGCTAAATACCGTAGTGTGATTGACAGTCGCTGACTAGCAGAAATGGCATCTTTCATGGTAGTATTCGTTTTTTCAATTTCAGCTGTGACCATTCTTAACAATTCCTCAAATATTGCTTCATCGATTCGTAGAAAGTTTCGGTAATCAGCAGGTTCGCTAACTTTTAATTCTTTTAATAGATTTTCATGACTATACTGGCCTCTTTTCTTATACCAATCTTTCATCCATTTACTTCGACACTTTTGTTTCTTTGTTAAACAAGTGGCCAAAACAAAGGCAATAGCAGCTTGTTTTTTCTTATCCATGTTAACCAAAGTGCAAAACGAATCAAATTCATTGTACTGTTTGGAGATAACTAACAATATTATTGCGCAAGCATATTGACCGTCTGTGGGCTCCTAATTAAATAAATCTCCACTCCCAAAAAATATTTTAAATAACTCAATTCAATTTCTCATGGTTCAATTATACCGGGTGATGCGTCGTCGTTGGAAACAGGAAATCCTATGCAAATTTTGAACTGTCCAAATATTGGCTTCTCTGTTGATTTTACAGCGAAGTCGTAAATAGGGTTTTAAAGGTCTGCGTATGCTGAATACACATGTCAAATTTGAACAGTTTTAAGCAAGCCAATTTTAACTAATTTAAGAAAATCTACATCTATTTTTAAACTAAAACTGAACAATGGAAAACCAGGTAAATGCAATATCTTAATTTGTCAACCTATGACAGGGGTGGATGGGGAAGTGGAAACCGGCCCGGGAAAAACAGGCAACCGGCCCAAATCCACAAAAACAAAATGACCATAACAAAGAAACATATTTCATTTATTAATATATAAGTAAGGGTGTTTTTCTCTCGTGCGAAAAAGCTCTTTGGCCTCCGGTTTTAAAAAAAATAAATTGTCTTGATCAAAATTTTGGTAAAGACCAATATTGGGTCGGACATCTGTATTTTTACTACAAAATGGCTCAGTTTTACAGGGTTCTACTGCTTTATTTCCATTATCGATAACGGTAATTTGATCTTGAATAGGCTACGATTTTGAGTCACAATTTTGAGAAACTTTAAGACTTCCTGATTGATTCAGTTCCGCTGACCCAATCCTCTGTGAAATACATTACTTTTAGCTTTTCGAGTATATACTTTCTTACACATTGTACAAAGAAATTCTCTCTTTTCTGCTGCAGCAGCAACCTGCTCGTGTACAGTGTGGGTCAAATTCGACGCTTTTAAATGGAAACACCTTTTTCTATAGGAGATAGACAAAAACTAATATCGGTGTCTGGAGCTCAATTTCTGTCAAAAACATGATGGTGAAAACCGCATATCCCTATCTGTTACCGTTTCGGAGTTACGGGGTGTTTTTCAAAAATATGCATTTTTAACAAATCGCTGTAACTTTTATGCTATGGAAAATTTTGTATTTTTATGAAAACATTTCCAAAGCACCTTTTTACGTAGAATTTAATGGTTTAAGTATAATTTTTTTACAATTAATAATTTAAGAATTATCAACAGAAAACTTGATTTTTTATATGGGACACCCTATATATTTTTAATTTATTGAAAAGAATTTAAAATTACCTTTCCAAAAATATAACACACTTGATATTTTGCTCGATTCCTCTTTGAGATATAGAGTATATAAAAATTCGCCCGCTTTAAATAAGTAGGCTTTGAAGGGCACCGGCTGTAATGCAAAAAAATTCTAGCTGTGAGCATCAATTAAAACGAAAATAATATTATTTGCTATGAGAGATGCAGAATTTTATAACACTTTAAAATATATTTAACCAACATCACACATTTAAATTATATCTAATAACAATAAAAATAAATAGCAAACCAAAACATGAGATTTTGCTACAGGTGTTCGACATATCAACCGTCTTATGTTATGGACAGACGGGGCAGTTTTTGAAAATTTCTCGCAGAATTCATTAACTCAGTGGGGGTGAAAGATACCCTCTCATAACTGCTAAGTATTTCTAATTCTTGTCTAGATTATACGGAAGAATAAAGAACCTTTATTCTTCCGCAAATATATCCATAGGATTAGATCCATGGGCACTAAGTCAGGCGGCCTCGAAGGCCAACGTCTGGGATTTTGGTTAGCTATTCAATTATTCTTGAAATTGGCTGCAAAAATTTGCTGATAACTTCAGCGTTCAGAGGCGGTGCGTCGTCTTGCTGGAAAAATATATTTTCGAGTTCCATTAAGGGCATATCATCAATAAGGAGTCCAAAGCCTACTAGCACAGAATATCTAGCTACGCAACAGAAAAATACTCGAAATGAAAGAGCTAAAATTGCACAAATAGAATACTAGATGGCGCGACAATATCATAATCAGAATATAATCAGAAATTTTGAACTTTCGGTTCTGGATCGACGGCTCGTCGACTGCCTTGTAGCTCGGCTAAATATGCACAGTTGCCGGATTCAACAAGACTTGAATTGGCATCCCATTCTTTTACTGTGTATAGTGCAGTATGTGTTTCTTTCTATTCTTTTTTCTTGTCAGATACACTTATATTAATTATTCCTTTGGCTATTAAAATAGTTTTAAGTATATTATTACAATACATTTTTAATATACACTACCTTATAATGTTAACTAAGAAAATACCTTTAATTACCTTTAAAATTAATATTATTCAGAGCGATTGATAGTGATATTTATTAATGCTGGAACGTTAGTAATGAAATATAAGTTTAATAATAATGGAAATAATTTATTAAAATGCAGTACAAAAAATGTTAACTGACTAAAAAATACTATAATAACAAATTTCTTCCGTTTGCCATGTTATTTATATAGACCTAGGTAGATTTTAAAAAGTGACACAGGTACAATTAATAATATATTAGTTCGGCATAAAAGTTGCTGTCACGACATCGAACAATAAATTAAAATTATTAATTAAACAAATCTTTATAAAGAAACGCAAGTATTCCAAATTTGGGCCCAATCGAACTCCAGGAAATGATATTATAAAAGTGTACTATATTATGGTACCACTTGATATGCTTTAAGCACAGAATATCTAGCTACGCAACAGAAAAATACTCGAAACGAAAGAGCTAAAATTGCACAAATAGAATACTAGATGGCGCGACAATATCATAATCAGAATATAATCAGAAATTTTGAACTTTCGGTTCTGGATCGACGGCTCGTCGACTGCCTTGTAGCTCGGCTAAATATGCACAGTTGCCGGATTCAACAAGACTTGAATTGGCATCCCATTCTTTTTACTGTGTATAGTGCAGTATGTGTTTCTTTCTATTCTTTTTTTCTTGTCAGATACACTTATATTAATTATTCCTTTGGCTATTAAAATAGTTTTAAGTATATTATTACAATACATTTTTAATATACACTACCTTATAATGTTAACTAAGAAAATACCTTTAATTACCTTTAAAATTAATATTATTCAGAGCGATTGATAGTGATATTTATTAATGCTGGAACGTTAGTAATGAAATATAAGTTTAATAATAATGGAAATAATTTATTAAAATGCAGTACAAAAAATGTTAACTGACTAAAAAATACTATAATAACAAATTTCTTCCGTTTGCCATGTTATTTATATAGACCTAGGTAGATTTTAAAAAGTGACACAGGTACAATTAATAATATATTAGTTCGGCATAAAAGTTGCTGTCACGACATCGAACAATAAATTAAAATTATTAATTAAACAAATCTTTATAAAGAAACGCAAGTATTCCAAATTTGGGCCCAATCGAACTCCAGGAAATGATATCATAAAAGTGTACTATATTATGGTACCACTTGATATGCTTTAAGCACAGAATATCTAGCTACGCAACAGAAAAATACTCGAAACGAAAGAGCTAAAATTGCACAAATAGAATACTAGATGGCGCGACAATATCATAATCAGAATATAATTAGAAATTTTGAACTTTCGGTTTTGGATCGACGGATCGTCGACGGCCTTCTAGCTCGGCTAAATATGCACAGTTGCCAGATTCAAAAAGACTTGAATTGACATCCCATTCTTTTTATTGTGTATAAAGCAGTATGTGTTTCTTTCTATTCTTCTTTTCTTGTCAGATACACTTATATAAATTATTCCTTTGGCTATTAAAATAGTTTTAAGTATATTATTACAAAACATATACATTTTTAATATACACTACCTTATAATGTTAACTAAGAAAATACCTTTAATTACCTTTAAAATTAATAATATACAGGGCGATTGATAGTGATATTTATTAATGCTGGAACGTTAGTAATGAAATATAAGTTTAATAATAATGGAAATAATTTATTAAAATGCAGTACAAAAAGTGTTAACTCACTAAAATATACTATAATAACAAATTTCTTCCGTTTGCCACGTTATTTATATAGATCTAGGTAGATTTTAAAAAGTGACACAGGTACAATTAATAATATATTAGTTCGGCATAAAAGTTGCTGTCACGACATCGAACAATAAATTAAAATTCGTAAAATAAATTAAAATTATTAATTAAAGAAATCTTTATAAAGAAACGCAAGTATACCAAATTTGGGCCCAATCGAACTCCAGGAAATTATATCATAATAGTGTACTATATTATGGTACCACTTGATATGCTTTAAGGTACCATAATATTGCAATGTCACAGAAGATCCGTAATATACCAAATTTAAGAACAATCGAACGCC